GTGATGAATAAATGGATTGCAGAAATTGCAAAGCAACAGAATTTTAGAAAATCGTATTTGCTAAGAATTATACACGCAAAAAATGCTCCGAACACCGACATTCCTAACAAGCCATTCATGTTCTAAATAATAATTATTGAACATTATAAAAACAAATCTTTTCAACAAAAGTTGTAGAAATTATTGAATCAATTCCTGAGGACAACTTATTGGATATTAGATTTTTACTTTTGTGCAATATACTCAAAGAAAAAACTTTTTTATTTTCAATTTTGTTTTATAACATAATACGAACATATTCGACCAGCAGTTGCATTAACATATTCCTACTATCGCCACAAATCCATATTTTACGAGAGTAGAATACGAGTACATGCACCCGCCGTATTCTCAAGCGTATAGAAGAAGACATAGATCTATTTTGTTGTACTCTGGGTGGGTTCATAGTAAGAGCTCATTTGAAATTAGCTATGGTCCTACTGTGACATAGATACGGTGTTTGAAATAGCAATAAGTACATATTTATAATCGAAAATTATTAGCTTGTAACTGTGTAGTTGGAGTTTGTAAAAATAGTAGATACGTAATTTGTATATCTATTTCTTTATACCTTATACTTTTATCTGTTACAGTAATTGATCAACTATTAGACCTCAGGAAAATACAAATTTGTTTTGTCAATTGTCTAACCCGTAAGTGGATTTAGATTTGACGAACGACAATATTTTAGATATTTGTTTCACTATTTACAGCTTGACCATGTTTGTCGTCATCAGTCGCCACTGCATTCATCGACTTTATTGTTCTCGACGGTGTAGCATTGCGTTATGAATACTACCATTAAGCGTAGTGATTACAGTCTCTTTGGCTGCCATTTTCTGTTCAACAATATTTTATATTATTGTGTCATGGAAACTTTCAATCAAAGTTATATGTATGTATAGATGTGGAAGAGCAAAAACCTAATTATAAAGGATGAATTTGTTCGTAAGAAAAACTGTTTACTTTTGATAAATAAACAGATTACTTTCTTCGTTGTAAATAGAATAATTTTTTTGCTTATAACCGTCTAAAATAAAATAAAAAATTAAAGTCTAAAATTTAAAGGCGACATTATGTAAAAAACCTTAAAATTATGTAACATTTTATAAATAAGCTTTTACGGCTGCATCTTGCGATAAGCAAAAGTCTATAGATATAGATTTCCTCGGGAATATTCATCAGGATTTCATGTATACTGGAAAATTATCAATGGATACATCAGTAGGCATAATTAGAGGCAGACCGTACGGCGGAGTTGCATTGTTATGGCGAAAGAGTGCTTTTACAATAGTAAGTGTAGTACAGTGTGACAGTGTGACAGTGTGCGTCTTGCAGCAATTAAGTTGCAACTGCCGGGTGTACGTTACTTATATTCTCAGTGTTTATGCCCAGAGACCGTAGTGATAATTTTGTTGATTTCACTGAGTGCCTGAGTGAAGTAAACGCAATTGTGGAAAGTGAGGCTGTTGAAAATGTTTTCATACTATGTGATTTTAAAGTTCATCCAGGAACGCTTTTTGGTGATGAATTATTGAACTTTTGTTCATAATGATTATCGTACTGCGTGGATATGAATGTGAAGCACTTTAGACACATATTATACGTTTGATAGTGAGGTACATGGTAGTCAGCATTGGCTTGACCATTGTATTGTTACTGAAGTGGCTCAGAGTTTAGTTGTTGACGCATAAGTATTATATATACAGTTCATATTATTCTGATCACTATCGAATGCAAATAGAGTGTAAAATAAGCTTGATTAGAAGTAACAGTGTAAAAAATAATAAAATTTATGTAAATAAGACGACATGGGGTGAAAGAAATGATAGCCAAATTAATATGTATAGTCAGATATGCAATGTGAAATTGAGTGACATAGACTTTCCGCAGCAATTTGAGAAGTATTCTGATAAAATGTGTATAGACCTTAGTCATAATTTTCTTTTTTGCCCTCTTTTTCTCTTTCTGTGGGGGGGTGTGGTGGGCACCTTAAATTTTTTATTCTATTTTATTATTTTTCAAGACAAATTTTTTTTCTTTTTTAGTTGCGATATAACGCATTAATAATAAGGTTACAAGAACCCACAATCAACTTACACTGATGTAGGATATAGTTCGGACTAGATGCGGCATAATGCGGCGTAATGCTTTAGTCAATAAAAATAGTTTTTTTTTTTTAATTTCATTATAATGATTCAGTCTTGAACCTCTCATTTTTTACATGATTCAGTCATCTTTCAATAGGTCTTGCTAAGTTTTAGAAATCTCATAAAGTATTTCATAAGTACTCTTAATGCCGATATCAAAATTTTGGTCGTAAGTGCCATATTTATTGAAAAATTAATTACTTTATTTGAGAAAACAAACTTTAACAGCACTTGTACAGAAATAAAGATTCATTCATTCCTTTAAAAACCATAAAACCACTCAAGGGTCACTCCCGCTGCAATACCCAATGCACTATAATATATGTCGAGTGACAAAGGTGTTCAGAGGCGCCGCGAGGTGCGCAGCGGTTATGTTACATTTCCAATAACCAACAACATTATTTCTCCAAAAGGTAACATATTTCCTTTAACACAAATAATAGCTACGAAATAATTAAATTTAAAATAAATACATCTCTTCCTGAAATAAAAAAAATATTATTTATGTATATTTTTAAAGAACCCACTTCTTATGCATTATACAAAAATATGCCACAATTAAAGGCCGATTCTGCACTTTTTTGTGCATCATGTACTAGTTCATTAAAACATTTTTTATACGTGGTAGAGCCATGCTGCAGTTACATTAGTAGTATATTTGTAGCACGAATAGGCCGGTTCGACCGGGGAAGGACCACGCTCTCACAGAATACCAGCGTGAAATAATAGCTTAATGCTTCTGTGTTTCGTATGGTGAGTTTAGAGAACCGGAGAGCCTTTTTACTGGAAACGAGGCATTCCATCTTAGTCCTCACGGGTGACACGCATCTGCATTTTGATTTGTAATCGAAGATTGATGCAGATATCTATGGGCCGCAGCAACCACCACAGGTGGACTGCATGCTCTCCCTATCCTATATAAAAAACATACAAAATAAAGAGGTGTATTCATTTCAACGATGAGAGCCGTGGTGGATCAGAAGAGCCGTGGTAGCTCAGATGGTTAGCTCTCGCTGTAAATTTCACAGTACGCTAGCAAGCCGGGTTCAACCCCCGCTAGCAATAATGAAATTGTTAATTGCAATTTTAAGTGCTGATCTACCAGGTAATTTCGGCGGTGAAGAAAGACATTGTAAGGAAGCCTGCATGTCTGTGAAATAAGAAAAAAAATATTTCGAAGACATGTGAAGTTCGCCAACACGCATTGGGGCAGCGCGACGGAAACTTCTTTGTCCTAAAACCCTCTGAGAAATAAGGGGAGGCCTTTGCCTAGCTGTAGGACGTAAAAGGCTGTTAACAAACTTAAGTATTCATTTCGACGATGAGAGATCCCTGGTAGCTCAGATGGTTAGCTGTCGCGTTAAATTTCACAGTACGCTAGCACACCGGGTTCGATCCCGGCCGGCATCAATGAAATTATTAATTGCAATTTTAAGTGCTGATTTACCTCTTGCTCGGCGGTGAAGGAAAACATCATGAGGAAGTCTGACTGTCTGAGAAATAAAAAAAAATATTTCCATGGCATGTGCAGTTCGCCAACACGCATATGGGCAGCGCGGCGGACACTTCTTTTCACCCTAAAACCCTTACAGAAGTGAGGGAAGGCCCAGCAGTGGGACGGAAATAGGCTGTGTAACTTAACTAACTTAACGATTTTGATGATGATAGTCTGAAATAATTAGCTGAACAAATTATAGCTAGGAAATAATAAAAACTAAATGGATGGATGGACATAAGTATAAAATTGAATAAATATATAACATGGGTACTCATTTCTTTAAAAGGCTCCTGGTACTTGTAGGATATACTGTATCTACAGTACTATTCATTTACGAATTGTACTGTAGGTAGCAGTAATCTTGCTCTAGGTTGAAACATAACGCAACGTTACGTGATTTGCAAAACTGATACCGTACGCTTTTTGCAAAAAGCACAATTGCGTTTTTGTCTGCCCACTCCGCCAGGTAGAGTTGAGAGCACTGACGGGAAGTGAACTAACACATCAGGTGTTAGTTTTGGCTCAGCGAGAGATTGCTGCGAAGTTGTTCAGCGGCGCTTTGGTGAGGTGGACTATGTTTTTGTAAGATATTGAGAATTAGTTCCGTCCTAAAACCCCTATGGTCGACCTTTTCATCAAAGGACTTACAGATTATGTAAGCATTTAAAACACTTACATTCAAAAGCCTTTTAAAGAATTTTTTGTACCCCACTTGCGTCCGTTTTCTTTCTATGGGGTACGTGGATAACATTTGATCTTTGCGATCCACGCCACCCATGCAAACGTTATAATCTTTGACTACCGTAGGCTTACCATCGGCGACAGCGACCCCATGGTATGTCGAAATCATTGCCACCCGGTTCTGATCTCGCCACACCATCAAGTCGACGTCTCCAGACGTACAGCCACAAACCTGTCCAATTCTCATGTTCCCCTTCTTTAAAGCGACAATTTCATTAGGTACAAATTGCCGGTTGGTCCGCAGTCCCGACGCAGTCGAGACCAAGCGTTTTTTAAGACGCGGGCTAAAGAAGGGGATTTATAATAGTTGTCCATCCATATGGTACGACTACTGTGTTCAGGGCCGCCCAACAATCGTAATACTAAATTTGGGATACCCCTACAATTATCCCTTCACTATCCGAAGATTGAACCTCAGCACCCGTATGTACTTCGAACCTCCACAGATAGCCAGTGCGGGAGTCACACACCTCATAGGTCTTAATCACTACCGCCGACTTTTTGTTTGGAATATATTGTTTAATATTAAGCCACCCCTTCCATTGAGTAAGTGACTCATCTAGAGCGACGTTTTAGTGGAGGTTAAATAAAGCTGAAAATTTGAAATTCAAGTGAGCTACAAGTGGTGCTATTTTGAATAATTTTCTCTCTTTTGGCGATAGATCCGGCGATAAAAGTGTATTATCGTTGAAATTAATACACCTATTTAGTAATTGAAATCTATTAAGCGACATATAGCACGAGAAATATGGTGTTGTGAAAATATTGCCCTCCTTACACCAATATTCCTCCATTTTGGATTTAAAAAGAACCCCCATTGCTAATATCATTGCAAAATAGATATACATCTCATCTATGTTTGTCTCAACCCATTCAGAGATACGGCTGCGCGGTCCTATTAGCCCTAAATTTAATAAATTGGCCGCGTTCTCCTGGGCGTACAAATTGGTTTGGGTAACAATGTGCCCCATGATTGATGTATCCCAAATCTTTGTGAATATATCATAAGGATTTGTTGTACGTTCAATCGTGGGGCCACTGTGACCCAAAAATAGTTCCCGACGCTCAGCAGGTGAAAGGGGATCTCTGGGGTAACTCCTCCAGCTAAAATCAAATAAACTAGAGGGGCCATGAAGTTCACCAGGGTCCACCTGTGAGGGTTCAGGGGTGGGATGGAACTGAAGCACATCAATGTGCCCAGCAGCTTTTGCTTCCTCGAGCGTGTCATCTTCCGGCTCAAAGAACATCCGCAATGCGCGGGGAAGCGTGAGCTCACTGTTATCGTGACCTTCGCGCTCCTCTGAATCTTCTTCGTCTTCGCTCCCTACGGAGAAAGAAACAATTGTCAGCTACTAAACTATACATTAAAAATATGAACACCTGGTGTGTGATAAAAATTGCCAACCGTAATTGAGGATGTCATCGATTTCACTATCGAGAAGCCGACGATGGTGACCATGCAACACCCGCGCATGTGGCGTGAACGGTGACGAACATTCAACATAACTGAAATAGTAGAAATATATTTATTGCCTGAAAAATACATTGGCCTTGAATTAAACTATTTTATTTTACTTACACGCTCGATGAAGGTAGATTATCTACGCCCAGAGAAGTGATTCTGCTATAACAAAGATATATACAATTGAACATAATAATATACGAGCACTCACTTCATAACACAGTACCTATCACAAGTAGCTACTTACTGAAATCCCCCCTGAATATAAGCGTTATCGCCTCCCGTGTCATTGCCTCCCGCGACGTTACCTCTCGCGTCTGAAGCAATTGGTTGCCATATACTGTTATAACAATAAAATACATTTGAGGTCACATGAACAATACCAACTTGAAACAGGTAAAAGAGTTTTACTTACCCTGAGGTTCTAGCTCCAGCAGTCAGATAATGCGTACTCGTATTGTAAAATTATAGGAATTCTAAGTGAGGCAGCTGAACAAACTTATATATACAAAAAGCATAAGAAATATGTTATTGCCTGAAATAGTTATATTAGAGACATATACAGAGAGGCTCATTAAGCTTTTCAAATCTGGCAAATGTTTGGTAAACCATGCGCCTGTGTAATACTAGACGTACTTTTAAAGAAAAGTGAAAATTGTGTCAAGATAATGTAGAGCAAATTAAAATGGATAAAATGGAATCGTGTCATGCTAAAGGAAATTTTAAAGAATTTTGGAAGCATACTATTAGTGTAAATCGTCGCCCGAGGCTACCTGCTAGTGTCTCAGGTGTTAGCGAAGCGAGATAGCAAATCTTTTCAAAAATTATTTCAAGGTTGTATTTTCCCTAGGCCCCTCAACACAATCGATAGATAGGCAATATCAGCAATCGGCGATCAGTGTAAGATTCACAGTAAATCAAATAGATGCTGTTATTAAAATATGAAGTGTGGAAAATCTCTAGGAAATCACAGCCACAGTATTGAGCATTTGATACGTGCATATATTCATTTACCTAGAGTGCTGACATTGTCTTTTAATCTTTGTTTATTGCATATGCGTTTGCCATCAAACCTTTTGAAGACTTTAGTAGTACCAATTATAAAAAATAAAATGGGGGATGCGGCGGACGTGTCTAATTACAGGCCGATATCACTAGATACCGTAACCGCAATAGTGCTTGACAGTCTGCTTGATATATATCTGCAAAAACACATCTCCTTGCATGATGCACAATTTGATTTTCGACAAAAACTATCAACAGAGAGTACAATTTTCTTCTCAAGCAGACGGCCAAGTACAATACGAATAGAAGAACCCCGTGTATGCATGCTTCAAATCTATCTATCTAGCTATCCAAAGCATTAGATATGGTGCCTTATAGGATATTATGGTGAAAGCTGAGCGAACAGAGAGACATACCTGAAGGCATTATCGCTGTTCCAATTGTGCTACTCACATCAAACGAATTACGTTAGATGGGAGACAGGTATGTCAGATGAATACGGATTAGAGTGTGGGGTAAGGCAAGGCGGATTAAGCTCTCATACCTTATTTAATCTATATATTAAAGGGTTGTTCGCTGAGCACAACAGCAATGGTATTGGGTGTTCAATGGACGGAGTCAATATAAATAACATAAGTCACGCGGACGATATGGTGTTGTTGAGCCCATCGATCAGAGCACTGAGACAATTAGGGAAAATTTGTGAATGATATGCCAGTACTTATGGGCTTATATACAACGCAAAAAGAGTAAGCCAATGATTTTTGGGACAGACGCTATAGGAGGAGGTAACTTACCACCTGTAAATTTGTGTAGGTCAGTTAAAGAAAATAGTAACTCAATGTTATGTTACTAACCAATTTATGGACTGTTTTTGAAATAAAGTGTTATTATTATTATTATTATTAAATAAGAAAAATATTGATAATTTTCATTAGCTTCAAACTAATCACTTTTTATTACATCAATACTTTTGATAGTCACTCTAATAAAAATAATCACAATAATTTCAAACAAAAACCGTAACCAGCTTCTATTTTGCTGCCTAACGAAAGTAAAAGATATTAATTAAACCTGGGATAGATAATTTATTAAGAACCATAATTAATCACCGTGTGAGATGGATCTACGATCCATTAGTCAATTCTTTCTTGCGGTTTTTGTAAAATTCGACTATGGGAATGACCTGCAAGATCTCCTTCATCCGATCTACGATAGATGGCAATGTCCCGCAAGTAAAGGTTCTCTGCTGGACCTAGAACTCTCCAGCTGTAGAGAGGATTTTCCTTAACCGTCATGCTCCACCGATGGATTGACGATCACTGCTATTTTATTTTTGATGCAGGAGTGGTGGCTCAAGATGGTGTTTTTGGTAAACCAGTGAGGGAGTTCAGCCGTGTGCTTCCGATGATGACGGTCATTAACCCTTTCACTCGGCTACCAATCTAATCAGATCATACAATACCTACCTTACGCCCGCTCTAGTACGGGGCTAATTAGATCAGATAATATCAGAAGTACTGCCTTATGAAAAAACTACTTTTTCCTTTAAAACAAAACCAAAAACAATATGCAATAGATAATAGTATCAAAGACAAAGATATGCTCTTTTATTTTAAACCATAACCTGGCAATGTTTATTAGAAAAAAAAAAAAGAAATCACTCTGAACTTTCGGCGTTCCACGTGTCGTTTTGATGAATGTGCTCCATCTTTTTTTATAGAATTTAATAATTGTGTCTGGACTAAAAACGAAAGTATTATACTTTTTTTATATTCCTTGTAATATAGTGAACACGTAGATATATAATTTGTGGTATAAAAAGTGAAAAGTAAATTGCCAAAAGTGCTTCAAAATCTGGAACGCCCATTATGGCGGCTGGGTCATAAATGCGTTATTTTTCATATTCTCATTTATTTTTAGTGTAAAATGTAAGTAAAAATAGTTTTCTTATATATTTCAAATAACTTGACGTTGTATTTATTTCAAATTCACACATAATTATTTTTGAAATATTGTTCTAAATGTCACACAGATAAAATATTATTATAGTTTTTTTTATATTTCAATATTTTGGTATGAGTAACGAATGGAAACATATAAAACATAAAAATATACATATTTCCAAACATTTTCATATAAATTTCTCCAAAAACAAAAGTGTAGAATTCAAATTAGTAGTAATTTTGTCACTAAAATTGAAGTATATGGTACTACTATGCTATACAGGGTAATTTATGTATTTTATTACAATTTCTAGCAACCAAAAATAATTTTATTCGATAGTTTATACATTCAACAAGAAATCCTGTAAGTTTTATCCATAAATATTGTCTCAAAGTGAAAATATAGCAAAATTTGCAATATAGCAAAAAATTTGCTAATTTGCAAATTTTCCCGCCATTACGGTCCCGAGCGAACGGGAGTATAACATGTCGCGCGCTGTCAGAGCGAAAGGGAATACCATACACGAATATGTCGCACCACTAAATATTTTAAGCTGAACGAATATCAGCTATAGGGCATCGTAGATTACGCCCAGTAGCTAGAAAACAACAAAGCTTTAAAAATTTATTGACAAAGTTGCTCAAGTTCAAAGATCCACAATTTACTATTTTAAGTACTTCCATAGACTAGTTATTTGCGATTTTTAATCGAGTTAAAAAATAATGAGCATTCTATATTCGGTGTATAGGATGTTTTTTTTCTTTGTATGTTCACCGAATTCTCAAAAGCCGCTGAACCAATTTAATTAATTCTTCTTACTTAATGACTATTAATTAAGAAGAAGTAATTAATAATAACATTGCATACAGTTTGACTAGTAGACAATGTCTCAATGCGTTAAATTTATCTTTGTACGTTTTGTGCAACGAATAAATAAATAAATAGGTTACACTTCAGGTGTAGTCTACTTCTGCTGAACTTCTGAAGTTAAGGCATTACTAGTAATTTATTGGATAAAATATGTCTTAAAACCGACTTCAGAAGCTATTATACTTTTTAAACTTTTTAAGTTGGTTTTACTTTAAAAGTATAAAGTTTGTAAGAAACAATTATAATCTAAACTTATAAAAGTTCTCAAAGCATCTAAGTCGTTTATTAATTCAATAATTTCAAAACTCAAATTATTTTCTGTTAATAGTTTATAACTTTCGAGACCCTCTACATAACAAAGACCTAAGAGATAAAGTGAAATAGGCTCATACAGAAAACAAAGGCAAGTAGCTAAAGTCCCGAGGAAAGTTTAGTCGGGCCAATTAATTATTTAGAAAAAACTATAGAATTTTCTTTCTAAAAAGAAAAGACTATAATTCAAGGAATATGTGTTGACTTTAAAATTAATTATAGAAATAAATAATTAATAATAAATAAAACAATAAAATGATTTTTATATGTTTTGTTTATTTTAGTTTCTTAAATAATTGTAAAGAATAAAAAAGACGTCACGAGTATTGAGAAAAAAGAGAATGTTTTTTTTGTTTTTCTGTAAATGTTCGAAACATGGCGTTTTTCTCTTGAATTGTATCATTGCATTTAATTTCAATACTCTAATAAGTCTTATCAAGAAGTTCATACCAGTAAGTAAGTAATTCAAAGTACAATATTATAATTTACATATTATTATGAAGACGAAGATTTTTATTTAAAAACTGCATCCTAACGACCACGCATTCTCCGCGTGAACAATCTATGTAAAATAATAATTTGATGCAAGCATATAAAATATAAAATAAAAATACAAGCATTGTCTTATTGGGGCAATGAAAGTTCTGCTTCACTGGTCCAACGCGTGTTTGCAGACTAACATTTCCAAAATGTAAATTTCCTGACATACGAGTTTCCTCAAGATGCTTTTCTGCATCGCTGAGCTCCTAATGACCACTAAAAATTGTTTTATTAATTTTTAATGTCGGCGAAGATCGAATTTGTGTTGTTGAAAGCTTGACTGCTGGATTATTAAAATTCACATAACTATTATTCGGCTTATGATTTGAGGTTCTTCTTTTTCATCAACTCCCATTACTGTATTAATCCGACGGTAAAAGTGCATAGCTGATCAAAGGCTAGTTTCATTAAAGGGAAAATTTGTCTCTGCTCCCGTCACTGGTCGAGGTATACTCATAAAGATAATTATACCACGATCTATCGGAAGCCTTGAGATCTATCTGGTTTCCTTAGTTGGCACACCCGATACCTTTTGGATGAAATAGAGTAATGGATTCTTTTACACCACCAGCATATAGCATAACTAAACTAACCAAAAATCAAATTTAACATTATA